TGAGACTTGAAAATTCAAGTTAAAACTTGAAAGTCTCCAGTTAAAACTTGAAAGTCTCAAGTTAAAATTTTCAAAAGTTCCAAGTTAGAATTTCAAAGTCTAAGCCAAGACTTACAAGTCCCAAGTTCAGACTTAAAAGCCTCAGGTGAAGACTTCAAAAGTCTCAAGTTGAGACTTTCAAGTTTTAACTTAGTCTTTCAAGTCTCAACTTGAGACGTGCAAGATTAAATTAAAACTTTCAAGTCTCAAGTTCAGACTTGAAAGTTTTGTTTAGAAACTTTCTTTCTCTCTTTTAAGCGAACAGCGCAATATTTTGGATGATTTTTCACTCAAAATTCAGTTTTTGACATCCTCAAATATTTTTCTCTAAAAAATATTCGATTTTCTCCAAAGGAATATTAAAAATGGCTGCTACGCATTGGATTCCTCTACTCTGATGCATCCGGTTGCGTAATGTGATAATTATTCATTGTCACGTTCACATCCTAGAAAGTTATGCACAGCTCATTGTTGCAGCTGTATGTTATCGAAGCATTTATCACCCGTTTTCATATAGTGTGTAATTAAGTATGAAACGAGGAATTCTTCTGTGGAGATGAAGCTCTTTTTTTCGAATTTAACAAAAAAACTCGTGTGTATGCTATCCGCAGAAGAAGATTACCGTGAAGATAAGCATTAGCGTTTTACTAGAGAGCAAGAAATTCAGCTAGTGATTGGAAATATTTTGCAACCCCACTGCCTCGAGGGGGGATCTCACTATCTGCGGAGACCATCCAGCGTGGAAGGGTTCGCAATGCTGGTGCAGATGCCGACAATTTATGCATGGGAGTCGAGCGATTCCTTCAGTCTAGTGATATCAGGGTATATATGGAGACGACTCATAAATTCAGCGGTCTTCGTTTACTATTGGTGGGTGGAATTCTGATATTGGAGAGATTCCGATGTAGATGGAATGAACTTGTTGTCATTTTCGGGGAGACTGTATTCAAAATTGAGAATATTTTTTTGGAAATGCATTACTGAACAAATGATTGAATTGTTAATAATACATTAATCGAGGCGATCACACTCGTTCATTTCACATTATCACGATCTAGTGAACAGTAAAGGGGGAGCGATAGTCAGTTCGTATTGATAACTCAATTTATATTGATCATTTGGTGCTCATTATTAGCTTTATCAAAAAATTATGACATTCATCATCTTTTCGGCCGAGAATTGCAAGCGACGAAATTTTTCGACTCAGAGTAAAAAGTTGATCGCACATAATATCGGCATTCTCCTCTCCCGCAATATTACACAACAGAATCTTGAAATGATGACCATCAGTGTTGAATACCAATAATCACGCGAACTAAAAGGGAAAACGTGTCGAGTTTCCAATAAATTGAAGGATCTTGTGAAAGCAATTACCCGCGGAGTCCGCTGAATATCGGAAAGTTATGAATATCGAGACGGTTAGCAACGCCTTCACGCAAGAATGTGGCCAATCAAGTGATTTTTCTCACTGAAGGTATCTACATCTGCCGCTGAGGGCGACCGCTGCAGGGGAGATTCCTCTTCACGCTTATGTATATCCGATTGATGAGAGAACCTTTAGAAATTACGTATGGCAATTGGGAAAGAAGGGGGCATACGAGATCCTGCTTAGTGATTAAACGCCAACAAAGAGATGCCGACTGACTCTCGCATTCCTGATTACCATATGGCTTATTATGTAAAGTATAATATCAGTTTCAATGCCAATGCAGAACGTGAGATGTTGAATAATGCTGAGGTCCAAAAGAGTATGTGAGGGAATTTTTAAATTCAGTATTGATAATGAAAATTATCTAATTTTTTTTCGAATAAAAAAAATGATTGAAAAAAATTTGATGCAATGGTAAAATTCGACTGACAATCAAGGAAAAGAGAGTGTCAAAAATTAGTTTTTCTTTAAAAAAAAGGATTTTTTTTAGAGAAGAAAGTTTTTTTTTTAATTTAGAATTGTTTTTCAAATAAATCGGAAATTTCCACTGGAAATGATATTATTTGATTGTAAATTATGAAAGAGACTGTTAACAATGCTTTTTTTAAAACGGAAATAATGGAATTTTTTGTTGAAAGAAAAACAATTTTTTTAGGTTTCTAATTTTATATTAATTAAAAAATGAAATTTTCAAACCAGTTTCAACCAATGAAACAATATAGGTCGATTATAAATCATGGGGGAGACTATCTAGAATTTTTTAAAAGAAAAATAACGTCTCAGATTGTTGACTTTCGACCCTAATGTTCTCATTTCCCTAAAAAACAAGAAAACCATTCAACCCGAGAGGAATTTTCCCTGAAATAATATTTTTCCTCGAAATGCTGGAGCATTCCCTCAACTACTCAACTTCCCAAGAAACTTGGGATCCGAAAAGTACGAACTCTTGATTACATCCATTGATTAATCCCGAGATTGAGCTATGGTTGGCTCGAAAATATCACCCAAGGACACGATTTCCATTTTCTTTCCCGGGATTTCGTTGAGCTGGTCCTCTCCCTCCCACTGTATTCAATTTGCCAAGTCCTCTCTCTCGCTTGCGCTCCTTCCGCCAACAGGGAGAAACATTTTCTTAGCCCTGCCGTTTCCCTTCCTCCCACCCGGTCCACACGACAAAATACCACATTTTGGCGAGAGAAGTCTCGAGGAAAGGATCCCGGGGCTTGTTGGCCAATCAGAGGCAAGCTTTTCTCCGGCTGCCGATCAATGTAAAGCCCTAGGTACCGATGTGCCACCGTGGAGAGTCTGTAAGGTGGATTATATCCACACAGCCAGAGCAACGTTTGCCAGAATTCGGATAGAATGAGAAAGGGAGCGAGAGAGGGAGAGAGAGAGAGATGTGGAGTCAGTCCTCGGTCCGCCATTATGCTCGTTCGCCCTGGCATATGTAGCTGCCAGGATGAAGCCGATTCACTTGGCTGGGATTCATCAAACCAGCCGGAATTCAGGGCTCTAGGCAGACGATGAAAATTAACGCTCAGCGGTAGGAGCAAGACCCCTTCAAATACTATAAACATAGTCCAGTTGATTCGCAACAGAAAAATTAAAGGTGCAACAATGACTATTCATCAAGATGACTGAGGAATTTTTACATGAATCGTAACTTTGATGAACTGGAAGTTAATTCAACAAATCGTTTTTTATGCCCCTAGGCCCGAAAACCGAGAATTCTAAACTCACTTCGTAAAATACCGTTTTTCGGACAGTGTGACGAGAAAAAATCATTTGAACGTAAGATTAATTCATCACTTGTAAATTGATTATTATCAATAATATAGTTGACAAGTTTTTATATGAATTCCAACTTTGATGAGTAGACAAAATTAATCTATCGAATGCTGTTTTATGTTCCTAGGCCCGAAAACCGCATTCTAATCGAGATATTCTCACTTCGTTTATTCAGAATACGGTTTTAGGCTTTTGGTGAATAAAAGGGGAAAATACTTTTTTTATCACACAGTCAGCAAAATTCCGTTTTTCGGACAGTGCGCCCAAAAAAATCATTCGCTCATAACATTCCACATTATTCATCACTTCTAAATTAATCATTAGCAATAATAGTAGACCGCAGATTCACCATAAAGTCCACTTGAGTGTGTTCATTCATATTAACGTTCATTAAAATTTCTCTTCGGATTTTAAACTTTATTCTGACTTCAGAGTAAACTTCAGGGGTCGGCTCGTTCGACATCGACCCCACTGAAGACTAGAGATGCGATTAACTTATTCTAGTCCCCTTTATTGATAGTCCCGAAAAGAAAAAAGTGAAAAGGAGGTTTCCCGTGAGTTCATGTGCGATTTTACAACCACTTACCTTTGTTGGAGAAAATTGAATTCTCCGAGTTGTATGAAAACTTCAAACATAGGTTTTCCGTTTATTTTTATAGAAGTTGAAGGGAGGATAATGTAATTCTTCTGTGGGATAACGAAAAATACACTCTCCTTTGACTCATTCATTTCCGGAATTCGTTTTTCCAACGCAATTGTGGAAGTGATAAGGACAAGGAAAATATTCTATATCGCATTACCTCGCGTTTATGATAATCTGGCGGAGTATTGAGTAAGCACAAACCGGCTGTTGGCGGCGGATTTTGTCGTTCGCGGGGAATTGTAGCCGTAGAAAATCTCAATCCTTCGAGGCTATTTTTTTGTTTCTTTGGTTGGGTATAATCAAGCGCAATATTTTTCACTGCGCAATGACTACATTTCTTCATGATTATCTGAATACTGGACTGGTTAAATGGGCTTCAGTTGAAAAGAATCTAGTGTTAGGAAATTAGTTCACAAAAAAAATAAATTATTATGCATGTGAGGGACAAATTGAAAGGAATATTATACGCGGAGAAAAAAGGCACGAAAAAACTACCGAAGAAGTTTAGTAATCGTGGAGTGAACTCGATTTTCAGTACTTTTTTACCCTATTTCGGGGAAAAATGCGAGACGAATAATGAATTTATCCGGTGGCCCGGGAAAATTTACTGAGCGTGAGGGAAAAATTATCCCAGTGAATGATTGCTCGATATTGCGTATAATTTATCTCTAATGGAGGCGTTCGGTAAAATTTCACTTGCATTCGTCTCCATGACGTTCAGATGAGCGCGAGAAACAAATACCCTCGCAGTATGGGAAATTTTAATGTACAGGAGGATTATTTTTGCGTCCACAGATGGGTTTTTTTACCGAACGAATCGGAAAATATCATCCACAGACAGGGGTTTTTCACTGAGTTACATTTGGCTTCACGATTACCGTTCGTATAGTAAAATTTGCCACGATTTTTTAACGAATGTAAAACTTCGTTATTGTGGTTGACAAAAAGAATATTTTTTACTAATTTCGACTCCGTTTTTGTGGTTTAGAAAAAGATTAAGTTGAAAATAATGAGTTTTGAAATAAAAAAAGGGGAAATGCAAAATTTTTCCTTGTTTTTTTTTGTAGAATATTCGCTTTTTCAAGAATTTTTTCTACTCACCCATTCACCGCCGGACCGCCATCGCTGCATGCGTCTGATCCGTCTGAAATAATAAGAAAAAAAATTATGAGCAAAATCGAGTTTTTCCGCTGAGTGAAAGTTGATTCTGTATTTACTGACCCGCCTAATGCCGCTGAGACCCTCACTTGTCCCAGACATGCAGAAATAAAAAATTTTTTTTTTTCACCCGAAGCCAAAGTGCCATATTTAGGCTTTTTTGGGGGGGAAAGTCGACTTTCGCCAAAATCGAATTTTTCCGCCGGGTGAACGCTGATTCTATATTTTCTGACCCGCCTAATGCCACTGCGCCCCTCACTTGCGCCAGAAATGCAGAAATAAAAAAAAATTTTTTTTCACCCGAAGCCAAAGTGCCATATTTAGGCTTTTTTGGGGGGGAAAGTCGACTTTCGCCAAAATCGAATTTTTCCGCCGGGTGAACGCTGATTCTGTATTTTCTGGCCCGCCTAATGCCACTGAGACCCTCACTTGCCCCGGAAATGCAGAAATAAAAAAATTTTTTTTTTGCACCCAGAGCCAAAGTGCCATATTTAGGCTTTTTTCGGGGGGAAAGTCGACTTTCGCCAAAATCGAATTTTTCCGCCGGGTGAACGCTGATTCTATATTTTCTGACCCGCCTAATGCCACTGCGCCCCTCACTTGCGCCAGAAATGCAGAAATAAAAAAAAAAATTTTTTCACCCGAAGCCAAAGCGCCATATTTAGGCTTTTTTGGGGGGGAAAGTCGACTTTCGCCAAAATCGAATGTTTCCGCCGGGTGAACGCTGATTCTAGATTTTCTGACCCGCCTAATGTCACTGCGCCCCTCACTTGCGCCAGAAATGCAGAAATAAAGAAAATTTTTTTTTCACCCGCAGCCAAAGTGCCATCTTTAGGCTTTTTTGGGCGGGAAAGTCGACTTTCCCCTCCAAAAAAGCCTAAAGATGGCACTTTGGCTGCGGGTGAAAAAAAAATTTTCTTTATTTCTGCATTTCAGGGGCAAGTGAGGGGCGCAGTGGCATTAGGCGGGTCAGAAAATCTAGAATCAGCGTTCACCCGGCGGAAAAGTTCGATTTTGGCGAAAGTCGCCTTTCCCCCCCAAAAAAGCCCAAATATAGCACTTTGGCTTCGGGGGAAAAAAAAATTTTTTCACCCGAAGCCAAAGCGCCATATTTAGGCTTATTTGGGGGGGAAAGTCGCCTTTCGCCAAAATCGAATGTTTCCGCCGGGTGAACGCTGATTCTAGATTTTCTGACCCGCCTAATGTCACTGCGCCCCTCACTTGCGCCAGAAATGCAGAAATAAAGAAAATTTTTTTTTCACCCGCAGCCAAAGTGCCATCTTTAGGCTTTTTTGGGCGGGAAAGTCGACTTTCCCCTCCAAAAAAGCCTAAAGATGGCACTTTGGCTGCGGGTGAAAAAAAAATTTTCTTTATTTCTGCATTTCAGGGGCAAGTGAGGGGCGCAGTGGCATTAGGCGGGTCAGAAAATCTAGAATCAGCGTTCACCCGGCGGAAAAGTTCGATTTTGGCGAAAGTCGCCTTTCCCCCCCAAAAAAGCCCAAATATAGCACTTTGGCTTCGGGGGAAAAAAAAATTTTTTCACCCGAAGCCAAAGCGCCATATTTAGGCTTATTTGGGGGGGAAAGTCGCCTTTCGCCAAAATCGAATGTTTCCGCCGGGTGAACGCTGATTCTAGATTTTCTGACCCGCCTAATGTCACTGCGCCCCTCACTTGCGCCAGAAATGCAGAAATAAAGAAAATTTTTTTTTCACCCGCAGCCAAAGTGCCATCTTTAGGCTTTTTTGGGCGGGAAAGTCGACTTTCCCCTCCAAAAAAGCCTAAAGATGGCACTTTGGCTGCGGGTGAAAAAAAAATTTTCTTTATTTCTGCATTTCAGGGGCAAGTGAGGGGCGCAGTGGCATTAGGCGGGTCAGAAAATCTAGAATCAGCGTTCACCCGGCGGAAAAGTTCGATTTTGGCGAAAGTCGCCTTTCCCCCCCAAAAAAGCCCAAATATAGCACTTTGGCTTCGGGGGAAAAAAAAATTTTTTCACCCGAAGCCAAAGCGCCATATTTAGGCTTATTTGGGGGGGAAAGTCGCCTTTCGCCAAAATCGAATGTTTCCGCCGGGTGAACGCTGATTCTAGATTTTCTGACCCGCCTAATGTCACTGCGCCCCTCACTTGCGCCAGAAATGCAGAAATAAAGAAAATTTTTTTTTCACCCGCAGCCAAAGTGCCATCTTTAGGCTTTTTTGGGCGGGAAAGTCGACTTTCCCCTCCAAAAAAGCCTAAAGATGGCACTTTGGCTGCGGGTGAAAAAAAAATTTTCTTTATTTCTGCATTTCAGGGGCAAGTGAGGGGCGCAGTGGCATTAGGCGGGTCAGAAAATCTAGAATCAGCGTTCACCCGGCGGAAAAGTTCGATTTTGGCGAAAGTCGCCTTTCCCCCCCAAAAAAGCCCAAATATAGCACTTTGGCTTCGGGGGAAAAAAAAATTTTTTCACCCGAAGCCAAAGCGCCATATTTAGGCTTATTTGGGGGGGAAAGTCGCCTTTCGCCAAAATCGAATGTTTCCGCCGGGTGAACGCTGATTCTAGATTTTCTGACCCGCCTAATGTCACTGCGCCCCTCACTTGCGCCAGAAATGCAGAAATAAAGAAAATTTTTTTTTCACCCGCAGCCAAAGTGCCATCTTTAGGCTTTTTTGGGCGGGAAAGTCGACTTTCCCCTCCAAAAAAGCCTAAAGATGGCACTTTGGCTGCGGGTGAAAAAAAAATTTTCTTTATTTCTGCATTTCAGGGGCAAGTGAGGGGCGCAGTGGCATTAGGCGGGTCAGAAAATCTAGAATCAGCGTTCACCCGGCGGAAAAGTTCGATTTTGGCGAAAGTCGCCTTTCCCCCCCAAAAAAGCCCAAATATAGCACTTTGGCTTCGGGGGAAAAAAAAATTTTTTCACCCGAAGCCAAAGCGCCATATTTAGGCTTATTTGGGGGGGAAAGTCGCCTTTCGCCAAAATCGAATGTTTCCGCCGGGTGAACGCTGATTCTAGATTTTCTGACCCGCCTAATGTCACTGCGCCCCTCACTTGCGCCAGAAATGCAGAAATAAAGAAAATTTTTTTTTCACCCGCAGCCAAAGTGCCATCTTTAGGCTTTTTTGGGCGGGAAAGTCGACTTTCCCCTCCAAAAAAGCCTAAAGATGGCACTTTGGCTGCGGGTGAAAAAAAAATTTTCTTTATTTCTGCATTTCAGGGGCAAGTGAGGGGCGCAGTGGCATTAGGCGGGTCAGAAAATCTAGAATCAGCGTTCACCCGGCGGAAAAGTTCGATTTTGGCGAAAGTCGCCTTTCCCCCCCAAAAAAGCCCAAATATAGCACTTTGGCTTCGGGGGAAAAAAAAATTTTTTCACCCGAAGCCAAAGCGCCATATTTAGGCTTATTTGGGGGGGAAAGTCGCCTTTCGCCAAAATCGAATGTTTCCGCCGGGTGAACGCTGATTCTAGATTTTCTGACCCGCCTAATGTCACTGCGCCCCTCACTTGCGCCAGAAATGCAGAAATAAAGAAAATTTTTTTTTCACCCGCAGCCAAAGTGCCATCTTTAGGCTTTTTTGGGCGGGAAAGTCGACTTTCCCCTCCAAAAAAGCCTAAAGATGGCACTTTGGCTGCGGGTGAAAAAAAAATTTTCTTTATTTCTGCATTTCAGGGGCAAGTGAGGGGCGCAGTGGCATTAGGCGGGTCAGAAAATCTAGAATCAGCGTTCACCCGGCGGAAAAGTTCGATTTTGGCGAAAGTCGCCTTTCCCCCCCAAAAAAGCCCAAATATAGCACTTTGGCTTCGGGGGAAAAAAAAATTTTTTCACCCGAAGCCAAAGCGCCATATTTAGGCTTATTTGGGGGGGAAAGTCGCCTTTCGCCAAAATCGAATGTTTCCGCCGGGTGAACGCTGATTCTAGATTTTCTGACCCGCCTAATGTCACTGCGCCCCTCACTTGCGCCAGAAATGCAGAAATAAAGAAAATTTTTTTTTCACCCGCAGCCAAAGTGCCATCTTTAGGCTTTTTTGGGCGGGAAAGTCGACTTTCCCCTCCAAAAAAGCCTAAAGATGGCACTTTGGCTGCGGGTGAAAAAAAAATTTTCTTTATTTCTGCATTTCAGGGGCAAGTGAGGGGCGCAGTGGCATTAGGCGGGTCAGAAAATCTAGAATCAGCGTTCACCCGGCGGAAAAGTTCGATTTTGGCGAAAGTCGCCTTTCCCCCCCAAAAAAGCCCAAATATAGCACTTTGGCTTCGGGGGAAAAAAAAATTTTTTCACCCGAAGCCAAAGCGCCATATTTAGGCTTATTTGGGGGGGAAAGTCGCCTTTCGCCAAAATCGAATGTTTCCGCCGGGTGAACGCTGATTCTAGATTTTCTGACCCGCCTAATGTCACTGCGCCCCTCACTTGCGCCAGAAATGCAGAAATAAAGAAAATTTTTTTTTCACCCGCAGCCAAAGTGCCATCTTTAGGCTTTTTTGGGCGGGAAAGTCGACTTTCCCCTCCAAAAAAGCCTAAAGATGGCACTTTGGCTGCGGGTGAAAAAAAAATTTTCTTTATTTCTGCATTTCAGGGGCAAGTGAGGGGCGCAGTGGCATTAGGCGGGTCAGAAAATCTAGAATCAGCGTTCACCCGGCGGAAAAGTTCGATTTTGGCGAAAGTCGCCTTTCCCCCCCAAAAAAGCCCAAATATAGCACTTTGGCTTCGGGGGAAAAAAAAATTTTTTCACCCGAAGCCAAAGCGCCATATTTAGGCTTATTTGGGGGGGAAAGTCGCCTTTCGCCAAAATCGAATGTTTCCGCCGGGTGAACGCTGATTCTAGATTTTCTGACCCGCCTAATGTCACTGCGCCCCTCACTTGCGCCAGAAATGCAGAAATAAAGAAAATTTTTTTTTCACCCGCAGCCAAAGTGCCATCTTTAGGCTTTTTTGGGCGGGAAAGTCGACTTTCCCCTCCAAAAAAGCCTAAAGATGGCACTTTGGCTGCGGGTGAAAAAAAAATTTTCTTTATTTCTGCATTTCAGGGGCAAGTGAGGGGCGCAGTGGCATTAGGCGGGTCAGAAAATCTAGAATCAGCGTTCACCCGGCGGAAAAGTTCGATTTTGGCGAAAGTCGCCTTTCCCCCCCAAAAAAGCCCAAATATAGCACTTTGGCTTCGGGGGAAAAAAAAATTTTTTCACCCGAAGCCAAAGCGCCATATTTAGGCTTATTTGGGGGGGAAAGTCGCCTTTCGCCAAAATCGAATGTTTCCGCCGGGTGAACGCTGATTCTAGATTTTCTGACCCGCCTAATGTCACTGCGCCCCTCACTTGCGCCAGAAATGCAGAAATAAAGAAAATTTTTTTTTCACCCGCAGCCAAAGTGCCATCTTTAGGCTTTTTTGGGGGGGGAAAGTCGACTTTCGCCAAAATCGAATTTTTCCGCCGAGTGAAGGCTGATTCCATATTTTCTGATTGAGCCTTTAAAATTGTGTCCTTCAAGGCTTGGCTTGGCGCCAAGCATTGTTCAAGCCTTCTGGCCTAAGTCTGAAACGAGGTTATCATTTTGGGGCTGAAGGAGGGCTGATCCAAGGCTGAGCTCCAGCCCTGGTTGAGCATTTCCAAGCCTTGCTCCAGGGCTTGATGAGCCTGTTTCTATCGTCAATTCCTACCTGGGATCCACCGTCCAAAACATCAATGCAGTGTTTTCCATTTGCCTTATATGAACCCCCGAATCGCCCGGAATCCCAGATATCGATGTTCCCTATCAATATCCATTTACCTTCCGCATACGTAACATCGGTCTATCCGCATTCCGTCACCAGTAGTCGCTCCAACGCATTTACGAGATGGCCTTTTTGCTCTCCACTCAAACATATCAACCCGGGAGGGAGAGGCATATCGCTCCACTCCCCGCATTTCCAAAAGGTCGAAGCCATCCTGGCGGATCTATCTGTTCTCATTTTTCGTAAATTGTGTAAAAGGAAAGTATGTATCTATCTAATCCCGCTATGTCGCCCCTTCGGCACGCCAGAGAGCCATATCGCCACGCTCACAACTCACTCCACCTACTTTACCTGCACCCCGCCTAGAGAAAGCTGATCACACAAAAGGGACAATACCCCGGGCGGCTGATGGAAATCCCCCTCCCCCGCGCCCCTCGCCTAAGGAGAAAACGTGCTCGCGAGAACAGGCACTCTATTGGCTCTCATCGTGACGCCATCATTTTTCCTCACTCTCGTCCACCCAAAATCCCTTTTAGCGATGGAAAAATTGGGGTTTTCCATTAACAAATGGGTTAAGTTGATTAGGGCGGGAGTGGAGAGTTAAATTATCTAATTGCATTGATGTAGAATTTTAATTTAAAATCTTCAACGCGAGAAAAAAACAGTCGATTAAAACAAATTCGATAATTGTTTGTTTTGCATTTAAATATGAGAATAAGCATTCTCGAGAATTGAGTGGACGTTTATACTCGATTGTTAATCAGTAAGTTGTAAATTAGAATCTTGAAGGTACATTAGAAAATTAATTAATAATTTTACTTTTAAAGTAAATTTAATGTTGAAAGTTGGAATAAAACTGTCACTCAATAAACAATTAAAAGAGCAATAAATTATTCGCAAGTACTGACAGCTCAGACAGGAAAGTAAATGACCACCGCAGCTACTTTTGATGGAAAACATTAATTACAAATCTTCAACCCGTGTTGAGGACAAAAAACAGTCGATTAAAAAAAATCCGATTATTGTTCATTTTGCATTTAACTATGAGAATAAATGTTCTCAAAAAACATTCATGCATTAGAAAATTAATCAATAATTTTACTTTTAAAGTAAATTTAATATTGAAAGGTAGAATGAAACTGTCACTCGATAAACAATGAATGGTGCAAGAAATTATTCATAAAAATTAATAGATCTTTTTTCGTTCATGACGAATAATTTCTCCGTTTAATGTCCGACTGTTTTTTATTCCTAATATTGTTCGAAACTTCATTACCTCAACGTCAAAAAATGTGACGAATTGTTAATCGCCGAGTCAATAAAATTTACAGAGACAAAATGTATCTTTGGCGGTCAGAAACCAAAAATAAACAATCACTGGAGCTATTTTTACATTGTGACACAAATAAATTGTTACAAATGAACTGGCTAACACGGAACGACGGTTGGAGTAACGGACATATACATGTCTAAGAGAACATAAAATGATCAAGGCGTAAAAATATTGCCGGACTAGACGTTTCGCCGAGGCTGAGAATGAAGTGGAATTGGCTCAATCAAGAAAATAAGAGAAAAAGCAAGAGTGAAGCAACGCCGCCATCGTCACCCTTGAATGCCCGTTGGTAGTATTCTCTCAACGATGAGAGAAAAATTATTTCGAAGTATTCTCACTGGCAATACAATATTCTTGCTAGTTTATGTAACGAGACGTGCTGCGCCGTCACGTGGAAAAAAGACGACCCATAGGTTTTACCCGGTGTAATTTATAAATGTCTTTTTTTTTCTTTTCGTCATCAGTTGCAATGTTCCCTCGTGAAAAATATACTCAGCATTTTGGGAGAATATACTAACCTGTTTTTCAATTGTAGGTGGAGTGAGTGGGGGAGAGAGAAAAAAGTTTTGGTGGGTTTTCAGTGATTTTAATGGGCCACTGATTTTGAGAAATCTATCAGAATATATTCGTGAAGATAAATTCTGCAAGCTAAAACCGACGAACGTCACATGAAGTATCTTGGTAATTTTTCCAATGTTAATCTACTCTTAGAGGGGTTATATAATGAAGAAATCATTGCAATTCTCGACCGAAAATGTTATGAATGTTATAATTTTTTAATAAAGCTAATAATGAGCACCTAACGATAGTATAAATTGAGGTATCAATACAAACTGAGTGTCCCTCCCCCTTTATTGTCCACTAGATCATGATAATGTGAAATTAATGAAAGTGATCACCTCGATGAATTTATTATTAACAATCCATTCATTTGTTCAGAATCAAGTCGATTTATTTGTGTCACTTAATGACATTTTCCTGAAGTGTAATAGCCCTGAAAATAAAAACTTTTCGCCTGAAATCTCGCTTGAAATCCGCGTGTCCCAGATTCCCACAGACCAACTCCGACTTGTTCCGACTTAAATTTCATGATGAGGAATGCAATTGAACGAAAAACGATTCGATAGAAACCTAGAGGTCAGTTTACGATGAGAATGAGAGGATATCCTGTAATTTACGGCTGGTCGCAACAAAATAAGACCGCTCATCCCTCAGATTATCCCGGAGGGAAGCCCAGTTGATTGGTTTAACCCCCGGCTAGGATGACCGGTAGAGCTTTGTGCAATCAGTCCCTGATTTCAATTCCCCGGCTGATGATATCTAAGGTTCTTCTACAGTTTTGTGCGGATAACACTGTAGATTTTGATATATTCAATCATCAGAGTTGTTATTTAAATCGTGAGAGAATAAAACAAAACAAAAAAATAAACAATAGTAATTTCGTAAATTGGAATTATTCAAATATTTTATGACCTTTCTTCGGAAAAGGTTTCTAATTTAGATTTTAAAAATATCCTTCAACGGTTCAAAATTAAAATCAAATGTAGACCTTCATAATTTTAATATAATCGACAATTTTTTCTCGTCAAACTTTATCTAAAACACAAAAAAACATTTGTTGAAGATTATTTATTAATTCTAGTAAGAAAATGCGATAAGTTCAGAAAGAATTGTTAAATTTCAAGGGAAAATTGTACAAAAATATCGAAATTTTCCCTTAAATTTTACAATTCCTTGAAATTTTTGCATTTCCTGTTCATCAGGGGTTAATTTTCAACAGATTTTTCCCTCCGCGTGACCATGGATATTCATTTCCCAGTGTGCAACCCATATTTTCCCTGGAATTCTTCACTCAACCGATCCCCCAAAATTTTCTCGGATTCTCAAAAAAAAAATCGATGGCGCAGGTACGAGACAAGGCATAAAACCATAAAAAAGGGTAAAACCACCGCAACCCGTCTTGTCCCGAACAATAAACGAATCGAAATTCCACTCTTCGGAGTGACAGTAGTCGGAAGGTCCAGGAAGTCCCGGGGAGAGCACAGCGACTCAAAACTGACCATTACATGAGCCACCGGGGGTTGCGGTAGCTCCCTGCAAAAGACCGAGGAAAATGGAGCAAAAAACATCACCGCCATGTAAACCCGAGCCGTCCCCCCTGGTTACCTGGCCGCCGTCATTGGAATCACTGCTCGACGACAAAAAAAAAAAGGGAAAAGTGCCTCGCAAAATGCGCGATACCGTTAGGTCAATTGCCTTTTCCCTCCCCTCGGGTCTTTTCTTTGCTTCCGTAGTTTTTGTAATCCCAAATTTTCGTTTGTCTATTACGAAAATCCCTGATTTTCAGGAACTCATCTCCAATTTTTAGAAATCTCTCATCAAATTTCAATAATTGAAGTAATCGATAATCAGGGTCATCGTAGCCAGTCTCCAATTGGAGATAGATTTCAAAAAATCAGTCACATGTCCCAAAAAATTAGTGACACGTTTCTGAAAATGAAAAATTCTGCTCTCTCCGTGAACTCAGATGATAATTATACTTCAATTGCATAATCCGTATGGTTTTTCGTATTTTCAGCTTACCCCTGCAGAAGGTGAACCGTTGGAAATGAATTTGGACATCTCTGAGGAGGTCACCACTCTCTGGCACCCAAACAACTCACTGCACACATCCACGACAGAATCGAACCTCTTATACAACCAGGTATGAACTTAATTTCGTGTGCATAGTTTATTACTGCCGGATACGCTGGTTATAAACGTTTTGTTCTCTCTCGTCCCTCGAAAACTCCCCTCTCTCGGGAAAAAATGTTTGAAACTAGACCGGTAATAACACATATCACTCGACCGCTGATTCAATCCCAGCGGTCTCAACCAAATAATGGAACTCGTGTCCCACATCAATTCGAGGCTATCGATTCGATCAGTGTTCCAACACTTCTCGTTAATGTTGATTAAATTTTGATTGAGCGGCTGTGTTGATTTAATTTTCAATGCGAAGTCTGCAATATTTTTGTGAATACAAGAGGTCAATGGAAAAGTTGGATAGAAATTTTTTGAAATGTTTGCCTGTTTTTTACTGCAACGATTCGCACAGAAAAACTTTCCGACATGTTCAACATATTTTTTTCCCAACTTTCCTCTCTGCAATTACTTCTTCCATCTCAAATTTCCTGGATAATCCTCTCTCAATTCCTCTCCCCTCCAACGAATTCAAAATTCAAGAATATATTTTTCCAATTTATACAAATTTTTATGGAATAATTAAAGTGAAATTCACAGTTTTCATTCATTTCTTCGTCAAATTATTATTTTTAAATTACGAAATTCCTTGAGATTCCAGTGGAACTGTCACTCGATAAAAATCCAAGAATTATATCCGGACGTTTCAGTTAAATATTTTCGACAGCATTTCAATTTTCACCTCTCGTAGAAACGAATTCCTCCTCAATACTGATATCAGTAAATGCATTTACACCATCACCCGATGATCACGCATTAAAAACCATCTGGATTGGATTGAAAAATAATTCCTTATCGATAACACAACGGCAATCCAATTAAATTCACCACGAGAGCGAGCGTAAACCTCGTTTTAACACATAACCCGTGCTTTCAACATAACAGCCATGAGGTTCTTATTACTCACATGCCACATATGCACTGTCTCTATAAATTGAAGTGCGAGCTAACCTGCAAAAAATAGCACTGGTCTTCCAGGTTATAGAACTGCCAACGGATATTTTTTTTTCACTTCTTGTGAATTTTTGGAGCACTTGATTATCCCAAGTTTTCACTTGAATTAATTGTTCATGTCATGTTGAACACAACTTGGTGTCGATTTTGGAAAAGTGATTATAAAATTTATTGGCTGTTAATCTACCACGCCATACCCCACTCCGCGCCATTTTGTAATAGTGTGAATGCACACTGATACTCCCAGTGACGAGAATAGGCCACCACATCTCTATCAGCTGTTGAGTCCGTTCATAATTTTTAAAAAATTTTTTGTTTAAACAAGAAAATGAAATGATAATTGGGAAGTTTAATTACAATTTTATTCTGTTTTTAACAGTAGGTATTGAATATTCTATAGAATTTAATGTTTTAATTGTCAAAATTTTTGATTTTACATTCAGAAAAATTATTTATTTCAATCAAGTGAATTGTTTATTTGCTATTTTATTCGTGTAAAATTTTTTTTAAATCGCGATACATAAATTTATTTATATGAACGAACATTTCTTTTATTTAAATAGAGATTCAATTATTTAGGGATTAAATCATTGTTTAAACTCCGAGTAATTTTTTATTTGGACCAATTTAATTGATAATTAATTCCAATTAGGCATTCAGTTGAGCTGAATGAATCATCCATTTTCCATAATTAAAACATCTTCCTGATATAAATAGTAGATTAATTTCCACCAAAAAAGATGTCGAAACAAACAGAAAAAATTAAAAAATTAAAATAACTGCACCATTTTTCTTAAAATGAATAGATCATTAATATTCCAAGAAAAAAAAATTGTCGAAACCAATCAGTAGCGAAGCGATAAAACGGCTTAAGTCGATTTTGACTATTTACCAGTTTTCAATAAATATCTCAGAATGTAAGGGAGATGGCAAAATTCTTGTCATAACCTTTTCTATAGCACTCAATTCGCTCTACAAAAAAGGTAATTACAAAAATTTCATTATCTCCCTTAAATTCGTAGATATTCCTCAAAAACTCAGATGAGAGCTAAGTCAACTTAAACCGTTTTACCGCTTCGCTACTCAAATAGAAAAACTGAAAAATAATTCCCCAGTTGCATTTATCCACCGAATCGACCTGTAAGTCCATCAGCAAGATTGAAATTAGACCAGTGATTATTTCACGGTATCCTCGGCAAGAAGTATCTGGGAGGAGAGATATAAGGTCGAGTCTTTGCACGGCAGTATAACAGCACTTAAATGATCGTTTAACAACCCCGTCGAGTGAGTCAGAGTGAGTTTTAGTGGTACGGTAAATGCGATCGTATATACGATCGGCAAGCGAAAATCGTGACGTCGCACGCGCCCTTAACGTACTACTGTACAGCATATCTACTATCCGACTGAAACGCTGGGAGTTATCCCCGGAGCAGCGCCGATTTATTGCCCCTAAGCATTTACCAACATCTTTATGGCATCGAAGCTCGTATAACGATAAAACTCACCTCATCAGAGCCTTCCGTACGTACTTGTGAATTATTGCCGCCAGTCGGACTGCGCGAATCGAGTCTTTTATTAAATACTAGAGCGGACCCGCGCTGATCTATCGCTTCGCTTTCTCGCGAGAGGATTCCTCTTCTCCATTCAAATTTTGCGTTATGAAAATGAATGATACTGTAGCTATTTTTGATAATAAATTACATCATTTCCTCCCGTCATGTGTAATTCATTGTTTAATTTATTTTATTAAATTAAATAAGATTTCTTTTCAACTATTCATCAAAATAACGATTACTGCTCTCCATAAAATTATTGATGTTTCACTCTTCATTCTCTTCATTCTCTTCAAGTCATTATCAATATTTATAAAACATCTATGAGTATATGAGGTTCAATGAATTCGATTTCTTCTTATTCACAACGAATAGATAAGCGCGCGCACAGGTCTAGTATCAAAACAAATGTCAATACAACTTCACGAAATTTTCATTCTGTAGGAGATTGCAACACGCGAGCAGAACCTCCACATAAAAATTACATTTTATTCTGAGATCTCCGCACACTCGCCGCGATAACCGAATTTTTACCTCAATTTCTTTTCGTCAAATATTTCAGCATTAGTACCCAACTTAGCGGTAATGATGTGAAATATTTTCACTGTAATTTTTCCAGAAATATTTACATACAAATGTCCTTCATTCTCTGTTCCCGTTTCCAATAATTTACATAATCCCGCATTGAGAGAACAAGAAACATGTTCTCAAACAAGTTTCGTTTTTTTATTATCATTATTTGAAGTGTTCAATTTATTATTGAATCATTTCCGTTGGGTTTCACACACACGGGGACGCGGACTGCCGTCACGTTTCAAAATTCGACAGGTCAAAAAAAAAATTACGGTCATGTGACGTCAATTTTTCTCTTGCCATAATTTGAAAATGTAAACTGACAGTCAGTAATTATTCGCGTCATAAAAGTTTGTCATATTTGGCAGTAAATCTTATTTTCAATCAGTAATTTTTGTATTTGACAAGCAACTAAATGCCTCATCATCATGATACCATGGGGCTATAGTCAGATCTAGTATGACGATCAGACAGAAAATTGATCTAAATTTTGTCACATAACAAGTCACCACTACCACGGAAAAAAATATACTTGAATCAAGTATATTTTATGCTCGAATAGGGAATGGGTGTTTCAATTCGAGGATGATTATTTCGTATCAGTCCGGGTTGCACCAAGCGCTCTCAAGTGTAATATAAGGGTCCAATTCTCTTCGCTTTACTAAAAATCAGTTGCTTCTGTAGCAAGTTTCGTTTACAGGAAAAATGGTGAGGTTTTTCAGTCCAAAAAGACTCGTTTGAGAACATTTTCTTTCTCTCGGCCAGTAATTACCAATAAAACCAGAAGTATCTTCATTTTTATTTCAGAGTAAGAATAAACATAATTTCCATTAGCATCGAGCATCAGACAGGCGGAGAAGTCGAATGAATTCTGAAGATCCTGGGGATATAGTCGCAGTACGAAGTGGTCACGAGAAAATGAAAGAGAAAAAGTCCAAGGAGCAGAGAGTGAAGGGAACGAAAGGAGCCGCGTACGCCTCCATGTTTTTTTCGTAATATCAACCGTAATATTGGATCTAAAATGGAGGTTATCCCCGGGGAAATGTAGAGCAATACGTATAACCCTCTCCGGTGTGCTCCAGTGCTTCGATGTGTATCATCGCAGAACCACCTGTCATGAAATTCCTCCATTTTTCCGTTGGAGGAAGTCCAGGCATCTCTGTTCATCTCAGACGACTGACTTCGGCTCAGATCCACGATGGAGCCGTCGGACATTCGTTGGAACTGCCTCGGACCCTCTGACGAGGGTAAGATTTTATATTCTTTATATGGGAAATTTCATTCCGCTCTTATCAAGCTTCATTGATATTCATGAACGGGAAAAATATAATTGTTGAATAGAAAAAAGTTTTTATTTCTTCATTTTTTTCATTTTCTCCGAATGAGAAATTGGACAGAATTAAATGATTATCATTGATTTAATGACGTGTTAAGGACCGATGAAGTGATTAAAATGATTACGTAATTAGATGCAGAGTATTTTTACAGCAATAAACTCATTGATTTTTTATTGATCGTAAATGGGAATATTATTCTCGTTAAAACAACTTTCTGTGAAGTCTCATTGATTCTATATCGTTAGTTTGAACTGTGTCAATTAAAGTTGCTCTATTCCCTACCACAGGTCCCTGTCGGCTGCTCTACAATTTTTAATATTTTTTATTTTCAACTTTTCTGACGAAATTTCTCTATATTATAAAAATCCAAATCGGCTTCTGGTGATAAAAAATTTGGCAGTCGAAATTAAGACTTTAAAATTACGGATCATAAGGATTATGAGGGTCAGAATGAGGGTCACAGGGGTCAAAATAAGGGTCAATAGGATCATAAGAGACAGAATAAGGGTCATGAGGGTTATAATGAGGGTCAGATTAAGCATCCAAAGGGTCAGATTAAGGGCCCAAGGGTAACAAGGATTATATTAAGGGCCTTGGAAAGGGTCACAGGATCAGATTAGGGGACACTAAGGTCAAAATAAGGGTCACGAGGTCATAGTAAGGATCGCAACGATCGGATTAAGGGCCGCCAGGTTTAAAATAAGAGTCACGAGTTTATATTAAGGGTCACAAGGGCCAGAATAAAGATCATGACGATCATATGGGCGTAGTTGCACGATAAAAATTTGAAAACCTCATTTCTAAGTTCTGCAACACGTCATTATTTTTTTCTTCTCAAAATTAAATAACTAGAAAATTCCTGCTTTTTTATATTGACAAGGAAAAAAAGATTTTTCACAAACACATGTCAATTAGAATGATTTGCAACAAAATGATGTTCTAAATTTGCTCAGATTTTGTTTTTCTAGGTTCATCCACTTCGGAAACCTTGCAATCCTGACAGAAAGAGTCAGGATAACTCGCCAGAGCGATACGTGACCACGAAGTAATGAACGTAAGGAGTATTGGATAGCTAGCACTAGAGCAATGGGAGACGTTGGTTGACCATGTCAGTCACCATCTCG